AAGGAAGGAAGGAAGGAAGGAAGGAAGGAAGGAAGGAAGGAAGGAAGGAAGGAAGGAGAATTAGCTCAGTGGTTAAGAGCCCTGACTGCTCTTTCATAGTTCCTGAATTCAATTCTGAGCACCCACATGTTGGCTCACAACCATCTAACTACAATCCCATGGGATCTGATGCCCTCTTCTGGTGTTTAAACATATGTGCCAACAAAAACACCCATATACATAAAGTATATAAATAAATAAATCTCTAAATTCATTTTAGGTAGTAGAATGGAATCTGTGCGATGGTTCTGATAGAGTGAAGCATATGGAAGTTCTGCATATGATAGCATATGAGGAAAAGAACACTCAAATCAATAACAAATTGAACTAAGCCCAAGTGCATGATGCTCCTCTGATAGAAGAGTGTGTTACTGTGTAGAGAGAGAGATTGGGAGGTCGTTGGCCTCTCAAATAGCCTTTAGTGCCTCAAGCATAAAAAGCCATGACCCAGCATCTCTGATGCTTGGTTGAATTCAGTCAGGCTAGGGGAAATGACTGCTACTTTTAGTTCAAAGACACAGTGTACTGCTCCTATACATAAAAATATAAGGTACCCACTGGGAACATTTGCCTGTGAGAAATGACTTGCATTGTGTCTTCCTTTCAGCCATCTCACAGCATGCAGCAGTGCTGTCGAGATCATGTCTGCTGTTCTTCTACACAATGAGTTATAAACAGGCAGGCCCAGAGAACCTAGACAATGACCAATTCATCCTTTCAAAGGTATAATGACAGTGGAATACTGCTGCTTGTTTTTTTCAGGGGTGGGTTTTTTTTTTGTTTTGTTATGTTCTGAGTCAAGGGCTTGTGTAACCCAAGCTAACCTCCAACTCCAGGTAACCCAGACTGACCATGAACTCCTTATCTTCCTACCTCTAACTTCTGAGTTCTGGAATTAGAGTTGTGTGCCTTGCTTGATGCTTGCTTCTTAAATTACACTTTAAAGGCACCATATGGCAATAGGTGCCATTTGAAATGGACCCTTAAAATGGGCCATTTGCTATTTTGTTGTCTTTTTTAATTCACAGTACAGAATTGTTCTAGTGAGACCCATTTGGAGCCATATGACATGTAAGGGCAGGAAGGATGTAATGTGGCAGCTGGCCATCTTTAGTGTTCCACCTCACTCCACCTAGAACTGAAGTCTCCATTGGTAGATCATACTTTTCCCATCCTCTGTGCTGCTTTGAGAGGCATGTGACTTCAATAAATCTGCCTTGCTGAACCTGCAGAAAACTGAAGATGACTTAGAAGAAGCATCAACCCAAAACTTAAGGGCTTTTAGTTTCACAAGTTTTCTCTTTTTTGTTTTTATTTTGGGTTTTTTGTTGTTTTTTGGTTTTGTTTTTGTTTTTAGCTAAGCAAGCCTAAGGAGTGGCCAAAAGATCTTTGTTTGAACAACTTCTTGAAAGCTACTTGGTGCTGGAACTCCCTGGAAGCAAATTCTTCCCTGTGGGAGTATCCATACCTTCATTCTAGTTGCCACCATTGAGTTGTACCTCTCAATGCATAATAATTGATAAGAAAAAGAAAACCCTATCTGAATATGACACATACCTGTAATCTATACAATCAGGCAGCTGAGACAGGAAAATTAACAAGTTTGAGGCTAGCCTAAACTGTGTAGGTCCAGGCCAGACTGGGCTACAAAAATAGTATATAAAAAATGTGAGGTAAGAATCCTTTTTGGACCCTTGTGCCATGTCAGGCTTCTTACTGGCACTGCACCCACAATCTCAATCTGTCCTATAATCTCCTACTCCTGAGTGGAGGCTCTGACTCCATGCCAAAAGATAAAGTCCTAAGACTTATTTGCCTTCTCCACAGCTAGGAGGAAGCAGAGATATTGTAGGTCTGTGCTCCAAGGGTATGTAAGACATCTGGAAGCCCGGGCTTCTTACTCTAGCTGTTTTTCTGTTGCTAATGAAACACTCTGGCCAAAAACAACTTGAGGGGAAAGGATTTATTTGGCTTTAACTTCTAGGTCACAGCCTATCATTTAGAGAAGTCAAAACAGAAACTCAAGCTGCTTTACTGGCTTGCTTTCCTCTCTGACTCATACACAGATAGCTTTCATACACAACCTAGATCCCCTTGCCTAGGGATGGTGCTGTCAACAGTGGGGTGCAGCTGGGCCTTCCAAAATCAATTATCAATCAAAATAGTCTATATCAGACATAGAAATGGGTCAGTCTTATTGAGGCAATTCTTCAATTAAGGCTCCTTCCTAGATGACACTAAGTTGGTCAAATTGACAATAAAAACTAACCAGCATGCTCCAACTCTTAACTTGACACAAACATGTCACTGTTAAACCATAACCTTTCCTTTCTTGTTTGTTTCCTAGCATTCACATTAATATCACATTATAAAATACAGTACAAATTTAAAAGTCACCTATTTAAGAATTCCAACACTTTACAAGTTCAGCGTCTCTTTAAAAGATCAATGTCTCTTAACTGGAATCCTACAAAGTAAAAAATAATAATAAGTTATATACTCTCTTCCTCCAAAAGGGAGAACCAGGACGTAGAAACAGTGAAAGCAAAACCCAAAATTCAGCAGTATAAGTCAAATCCTGTAGCTCAATGTCCATTATCTCAAAGTCACTCATAATACAATCCTCTGGGCTCCAAAGGGTAGCTCCACCTCCTGAATTCTGGCATCTGCAGCACACGCAGTTTGTCTCCTAGGCTCAGGTTTGCACCACTTCACATCTGATCCTGTCCTTGGTGGATAGTGGCAATGAATAAATTTCATGTGTCTAGAAGCTCAGGAGCAAGGTGTCTCCCACCAAAGCAGCAGCATTTTGGCACGGCTTTTCATCCTGTAGGAGAGTACATTCTCCCCATGAAATACTAATAACCTGCTGTATATAGAGTAACGGATATTAGCCAAAGGGAGGTAGAGTGATAGAAAGTTAATCACCAACATTGGCACTGCCTAGAATACTCAAATGCTTTTGTGTTTATAGTTAAAAACCCATATTCTCAAAAACTTTAACATCTGACTTGTGCACAGGTAGACCAAAGACTATAAAAATGCTCTACATTTTCTGTTTTGCATTTAGGTTCCTTCCTCTATGTTCTAAAAGCTTCATTTGTCATCACCATACTGTGGGTTCTGTGGCAGTGGGTGTCATCCTTATCTTTGTCACCCAGTTTCCAGTTCAGGGAAGGCCCCAGGCTTGACTCACGGCCATCTTATTAGATTTATCTGAGACTTAGTAGATGTGGCAAAGAAGATTTCATGCAGTGGGGTGGAAGGGGTCGTTCCCGTGGGTCAGCAGGAGTAGCTTGCACTGAGTACTAGCCTGAAGCCCATGTTGTACAGCTGTTCCTATATTCACTGGGTCTCTTTTCTCTTACAGGGACTACCATTTGTTAATGTGGCAACAGGATGGCCTGGGCAAGGACTAGAGGTTGCCTGTGGGGTGGCATATACTGGCAAGTACTTTGACCAAGCCAGGTAAGGACTTACAAAAATCCATTTCACTATCTCCCTGCACTTTGCCTCATTAGTTTGAGAAAACAATGATGGACTTGAAAGCTCTGCCTGCAAAGTTTTGAAGCAGTAAATAACCTCATTTGTGGAACTGTTCTGGCATCTTTGGTTGGGTCTAAGTGGTGACTAGAGTATTAGAATACGAATATTTTCTGAGACTGCTTCGTGTTTTATGTCCTGCAGAGTTTCACTGTAGAATGAACAATATGTACTTTGCATTAGGAGCCGCCAAATATTAGTAACACATGTCCTTTACTGGGGTGGTTCACAGTCTCTTTCTTGGACCTGTGTTCATCTGCTGCTTGTGATGAGCAGTACTACAGGTGAAATGCCTGGTTTATACCTAGGACTTCCTGCAGCCTGAGCAGCATGTGGTGATCCTGAATCTAGAGCTCCTATGGTTCAGTTTCTCCATAGTGTGATGCTTATCTTTCATAGGATCTCAGGAGATAGCTACCTAGCTCCTTGGAAGCCTCATTTCAACTCAGAGGATCCCTTTGGAAGTACTTAGTTGTGTTTCCTCCACCCTTCCAGCAACTTTCTTATTCCATTTCTAACAGTTTACTCACACATTTCTCACTGCTGTAAATTTTCACCCATGATTGCCTCTTAGTGACAACCTTGAGTTTAGTAACTTTCCTTAAGGGTTAGGGAGATAAGCGGCTCAGCAGTTAAGAGTACTAGCTGTTCCTACAAAAGACCCAGATTGGGTACCCAGCACCTACATGGCAGCTCACAACTGTCTGTAACTCCAGTTCCAAGGGATCTGACATTTTCTTAGACATATACACAGGCAAAACACTCATACACATAAAATAAATAAAACATTTTTAAAACAACTTTTCTTAAACCCACAGTACTTCCAAGAAGTCTACAGTGCATTTTATTTGTATAAATGGTTCATGTATCTGCTACAGAGGAATGTGCTATTTATGGTAGAGCATAGCTTCCTAGGTAGGATGTTTCTATTACTATGATGATTTGTAAATAAATTTTAAGGTCAGAAATAAAAGGTGCCAATGGAACTTTCTGGGGGAGAAAGTATATTGCCTTGTTTATATGTTTCAGGGACTTACTTTCTCATTCCCTCTTGCTTGATGACAAACCAGGAGAGGAAGCAGAACCAGCTAAAAATAGTCTTAGAGGTGTACTGAGGCTATTGGTCAAAAGTAAAGTGTCTCATGAGGCTCAGACTTCATTTCCTCAACTGCTAAACTTGGGGAAAATGGTGAGGAAAATAGTCTTAAGGACATTTTGGAGCCTGAAGCAGCTCCCAGAATCAGTCAGTCAGTCTGTCTGTCTGTCTCTCACTCTCCCTCCCTCTCTCCCTCCCTCCTCTTCCTTCTTCTTTTTAGCTAATCTCCCTGAAATTGATTTGCTTGGGGCCCAAGTGACCCCCAGCAGGGTCCTAACTGTTTCTTGATTTGTTTCTAACTACTAGGCATTCTGTCTTCTGGGTGATAGGGAGTCTCTGGAAGGCATTGGCCTTTGCATCCTACTACAGTCTGGACGATGTCATGGCAATCTTTGATGTGAACTGCATTGGACATGGTGGCTCCATGTCCATTGAACACTGCATTGCTGTCTACCAGAAGTGTTGTGAAGCCTTCGGGTAATTGTTCCTTTGTTGTTGTGCCTTCTTTCTGTCCCATCCTCCTTCCTCAATGTAATATAACCTCCTTGATGACATGTGGAATAATTATGTGGTGGATAGGCATAACGTAGAGACCCTATGCCATGTGTACTCACAGACAGCTCAAGTGAGAGGCAAACCCACTGCTGTGGTTGCCAAGACCTTCAAAGCCAGAGGCATGCCAAGTAAGTGTTTTCTTCCTGCGAGTATTCAAAACATTTGTCCATGGAGCAGAACAGATAGAAAGAGGCACTGACTAGGCAGATGATTTCCTTAGTAAACAGTGTTAATGCTGATAACATGCAAGGTTGCTTCTCTCTCTTGACCTCACTAGCTAATATGATGTCTGGTTAGGATAGGAGGGGAAGGTCAAACTTCTACCAAATAAAAAAATTTTTTTTGCCCTTATAAGAGAACGACTAGTGGAACAACTCGCCAGTGGGAACAGTTCCCTAACAGAGAAAGATCTATCTGGATCTATATGCAGGGGCAAACCCATGAGTAAGGTGATATATGTAAATACATTTGTCTAGAACTAGACCATCTGGAAGAACACCTAGAAAACTGAAGCTTGGGAACTGAGGCTAGTGATAGCCTTATTTTTTAAATAAAATCTTTTTTATTCTAATTAATTCACAAATGAAAACATCAGCTAGTTTAAGGAAGCCTCTTAAACACTTTCCTAGTCCAAAATTCCATATTTCTCACTGAATCTCTATACAGTTAGCATGGCCATTCTTAAGTAGTGGAGCTTCACTAAGTGTTTTTCACTTTCATTATTACATTTTTGTTCGCCTAATCCACTGCATAAAGTGTTAAAACTGGGGGAAATGAGGTATAATACAAGATGTAACTCTGCACATTTCAAGATTGCCATCTGGAATAGTCTACCTCAAATTTAGTTTTTCAAGTTAAAGTAGTTGAAGAAGATGTGATTCATCTTTTTAAAATTAATATAATTTAGAATAACACTGATCTGTGACTCCTCCCAAAAGATACAGCCTTATTCTGGCTCTACTAATTTGGTAAATGACAACTTTACCAATGAGCCCTTGCCAGAACCTGAATGTTTTCCTTGCCTTCACTTACATACCCAGTTACTGGAGTGTAATCTTTCTATAGCACATCTGATCATTCACTCCCATGCCCCTTTCAAACCTTTCATGGTTTCCAATCTTGCTTTGGGTAAAAACTCAAACACATAACGTCACTCTGCTTGGTCTGTATTTTCAGCCTTGTTTCTTTCATAAACCCTCCATTCACCAACATGTGCATCAGTGCCTCCCTCAAAAGCCTCAGGACCTTTCTTTTTTATTTTATTTATTTTTTATTTTTTTATTTATGAAAGTTTATTAATTCATAAAAGTTTCCATTTCCGCCCCTCCTCCCAACACCCTCCCACTCCCCCCGCTGGGACCTTTCTTAAGCTGCTCTTACTGCAGTTCCATCCCAGAACCACTATGTCAGTCCTTATTTCAGTGATTCATGTTCAGATATCTTTTCTCTCAAAGTGACTTTCAGATAGATAATCTGGAAGAGTCATTAAGAACCTAGAATGAATATCCTTTGTTTTGTTATAGATGTTGAGGATGCATAAAGTTGGTATGGAAAGCCAATGCCACAGATGCAATTATCAAATTAATTGAGAGTCAGACACAGACCAACAGGATTCTTGAACCACCACCCCCTATTGAGGACTCACCTCAAATCAACATTATGGTTATAAATATAACCTCACCAATTTAAATAGCTGATGACATGGTATGCAAAAATGTGGAAGAGTGGAAGACTAAAGTCATGTACATCATCATGTGGGTTTTTTTTTTTTTTGCAATTTCATGGGACTAGAGAGATGGCTCAGAGGTTAAGAGCACTGGCTGGTCTTCCAGGGGTTTTGTGTTCAATTCCCAGCAACCACATGGTGACTCAGTGGCCTGCAGGCATACATGCAGGCAGAATACTGTATACATAATAACTTTTTTAAAAAAAAATACTTTCTTAATACACGAGTCTTCATTTATCCTGATCTCTATGGATGAACTAGTTGGTAGACAGTAACGGAATTTGGTTGATGATTATAAGCTGTATAAATAATTGTACCTCTTATTTTAACTCTGAAATGTCTTCTTTTTGGGGGGGTGGGTTGGTTGGTTTGGGGAAAGTTTTGTTTATTTGTTTTTTGAAATAGGGTCTCACTAGAGCCCAGGCTAGACTTGAATTCATTATCCTTCTTGAGTTCTGAAGTTACAGGTATGAACCACCATATGTGTGATTCTGAAGGATACTGTTGGTAAATCAGAAATTTATCAATTATAAACCTATAAAGTAGTAACATCTTTCTAAGTGTACCAAGAAACTCTGACCACTTGACTTTTTCTTCTAGAAAAAAAAAGCATGTGGTTTGGCTCTGGCTAAACTAGGCCATGAAAATGACAGTGTTATTGTGCTGGATGGTGACACCAAGAACTCCAACCTTTCTGCCATGTTCAAGAAAGAACACACAGAGAGATGCATCCAGTGTTATATTGCTGAACAAAACATGGTAAGTGTATAATGCAGGTCTCTCCAGTCTTCTTGTTAACAATTATTAGATTAAAGGTCTTCCACAGAAGCATTCCAAAGAAAAAAGAGGTAAGTAGTCACCTAAAGTCAGAGACAGGGTGTAAACTAGCCAACACCCTCTGGGCATCCTGACCATATAGATCGGGCAACAGGCTGAGAGCTCTAGGTCTGAAATGTTCTGAGCTCCCTAGTAGCCCTTTCTGTTCCATCTAGACTATAACTAGGCAACTTTACAGCCACCCATGGAAAACAGATTGAGAAACTACCAGATCTCTGTAAGTTTGAGGTCAATCTGATCTACAGACTGAATTCATCTACAAAGTGAGTTCCTTGTCAGCCAGAACTGCATAGTGAAACCTTGTCTCAAACAATTTCTTTTAATTAACAAATACCAATAGTTAAAAATTATCAAAAAATTAAAAAGAGAATACTAATAGTTAAAGCTAGTACCCAGGGTAAATCTGAGCCCAGAGTGATAATATGCAGAGAGTGCACGCACCATTCTCAAGAGAAAGGAGCTGATGAGGGGAAACCCTTAGATATTCCCACATAGAGGATGACAGCTCTCTCCTATCTTTACATTGCAGAGGCTAAAAACAACCTTGAAGGGCACATTTCTGGACTAGCAGAGCTCATGTGAATGTATTTTGAAACAAGTAGTCTGATTTTTAAAAAAAAATTAAATTGCCAGCATTTAAAAATCAGATTTTTATGTAGAAGCCAAATTCCTTTGCATTTGGTGTGTTACACATATTGTTGGCATTATTAGCACTAATGAAATATAGAGTCATGTGGTAAAGCCAAAAAAAGAAAAAAAAAAGGAAACTGTCACCCTGCCCCTCACCTTGATTCACCAAATTCCTACATTCTCTTGAAAAGCAGAAATAACTACCAATTGGTTGGCATTCCCTTATAAGGCCCACTGGGAGTCAAGCATCATCCCTGTTTAGATGGGCATTCCCAGCCAGCTCTCCAGGGATACTGTACTCTGCTGGTCCCAGTGTTCTTTTATAGCATTTCTCTAACCCACCAGTGCTGGAATTTAAGGATACCTGTTAAGTAATAGACCATCACAATGTTCATTCTTGGGTTTTTTATTTTGTTTTTATTGTGGTATTATGAATTAAATACAAGGCCTTGCATAAGCAAGGCAGGTGCTCTACCACTAAGCTACATCTACAGCTGCTCTTTTCATTTATAGAATAAGTGCAAACCTTATTTTTTAAAATTGACCTTCCTATCAAAAAACTTGCTGTATGACTGCTTCATTGATTACTTCAGCCAACAGTCCTATATTTTGGACGTCACTTTGGTAGGCCTCCAACTAGAAACTTATTACGTAGCTGAAAATTAACCATAAACTTTTGATCTTCGCGCCTCTGCTTTCAATCCACAGTACCTGGCTCAACATGATTATTTCAAATTGTTTATTATTTGATCTGGAGGTTTTATACTCCAGAATGCCACCCAATGTGACACCCTTTTGACAATTAGCTGGAAGATAGTTGGTAGAAAGACAGCAGGAAAAGAGTCCATGGGCCTACACTCTGGCAGATGAATGTAAAGCCAAGTCAATTATTATTTAAAAGTGTCTTGGTTTTGGAACCAGCCACAATCCCACCCCCTTGGAAAGTTCTTTGCTCCTAGAGAAAGTCATGTCTTAGTTCAAAGCTGCCTAGAGTATATGAGCCTAGAGTGCCAAGGGAAATAACAATAGAAAGTGAAGGCCATGCACATCGGGGGCTAGAGAAATGCCTCAGCCAAAAGACCCAAGTTTGCTTTTCAACACCGGTGCTGGGCAATAGCCTATAACTCCAGCTCCAGAGGATCCTATGGTCTCTTCTGGCCTCCACAGGCACCCAAACACACACAGACACAAATGGGAAGGAAGGGGAGGGGAGAGAGAGATTTTTAAAATTGTGCACATCAGGGCAGCTTTAGACCAGACACAGTCACAGTCTCTCAGAGCCTGTGTCTGATCTGAAGCCCAAAGAGGAATAATGAGCACAGAGCTTTGAGAACTCAACCTTCATGCCCATCAACAGGAGGTTTGCACTTTCTAGCCACATTCATGAGACAGCAGTACTGGTCCTATTATAACATCACAGAAATCTGAAGCATGATGGGTGGTCCTTGTGGCAAAGAGAGGTAATTTGTTCTGAATATTAGTGAGAGGTTGACTGTGATGCCACTCAAGGCCAAGAGACCACTTGGAAAAAATTTGACTTTAGGGTTCTTCTTGGAAATGGAGGTCTAAATGAAGTAGGCTAAAGACAAAGTAGAAAATGAGAAAGCAGAGATAATGACTAAATGACTTTTTTTGACAAGTTTCTGTGAAGTAGAACCAATTGGGGGTAGATTCTGAAAGGAAGGGTAAGGTGAAATGAGAAAGCAGAGATGGATGGTAATAACACAAAATAACAGATGATTTAAAAGAAAGTCAAAAACTGATTGAAAGGAACATCATAGGATTGGAGATAGCATCTATTAAAAAAAAGGTTGTGATCTGAGATGAGCAGTAGAAGGGCAAGCTGGTGACTCAGGGTGGAGGACAGGGGATGGACAGGCAAATGGATAGACACTTCTTTTCTTAACCTGGTCTCTAGGAGGTGTGAGGTTAAGTATACCACTTGAGGTGGGTAAGAGAGATCCAAGGAAGAACATAGAAAGAGACATTCTAGGATTGCAGAATAGTTAACCATGTGAGGAGTACGAGTTACATCATGTAGTCTCTGTGGTTTAGTGGAGGACGGGATAAAGCCAAAACTCCAGGCATATTCTGCTTCCTGTTCTTTGTGTTTTAGATGAATGTGACTCTGGGCTGGGTCACTTGTGACTGGATCATTGCTTTTGTTTGCACCTTCGCTGCCTTTTTCACCCAAGCATTTGATCAGATACACATGGCAGCCACCTCTCAAATAAACATCAAGCCTTATTGGTTCCCATTGTCGGGTGTCTACTGGTATGGATTCTGAACATCATCATGTTGATAGCTTTGTTTAGGCATTGCATTTTCTTTTCTTTTTTGTTGTTTTAATTTTGTTTCTCGAGACAGGGTTTCTCTGTGTAACAGTTTTGACTGTCCTAGAACTTGTTTTGTAGTCCAGGCTGGCCTCGAACTCACAGACGTCCAACTGCTTTGCCTCCCAAGTGCTGGGATTAAAGGCGTGCAGCTCAACCACCCAGCATAGGCCTAGCATTTTCTTACTGTTCACAAAAGGGATTATTTTTGAAAAACTTTATTGTGTTATAGATGTTTCAGGTACTATGAATACCAATCCAGATGAGACACATTATTGTAAAGTACCCATTCAGCCATTGAGAAATCCTTCTCTGCAGGCCTTTCTGAGACTTACAATATATCAAATCTGAATAAGATCTATGCACACATCCCAGAATTGCTTTCTGTGCTCTGTTTGGTCACAAGCTAATTGGAACTAGAAGGATCTGGAGCTATATAAAAAGAAAAAAAGTATCCAGGAGTTTCTTGGTTTACAGATGGCAGGGAATCCTACTCATGAATTACAGAAATTACATGGGAAAGATGATTCAGCTTGTGGGCCAAGTCACCTAGAGAGTTGGGCAGCTTACATTTGCAGCTAGAATGCTGTTGATGTGCACTCAGGAACTGCACAAGTGACTACCTCGGAGAACTAAACTGTAGAAAGTAGCTCTGGCTAGAGCTGAGTGTGAAGATAGCTAAGTGAATGTGAAGTGAGACACAAACAGTGGTCCAGGGAACAAGTCAGCTGAGACATAGCAGCACTTTTGTTTGGGCAGGGATAGCAGCCTGAGAAAGTGCCCTAAAATCTTTAACCAAAACTGGGTTCATTGAGAATTTGAAAATCAGGAGAGCTACTGAGACACAAGTGGATCTAATGTAGAGAGGATCTGGACTTCTGAGATTAGACAGTTGTCCTAGGCAACACAGTGTACATAGGACACTCCTCCCAGGAAGAGGTAGACTCCCTCTAGAGTACATTGTGATTTCTATACACTGAGTCCACATATCAAGGCGTTCTTAGTCACAGCAGCATCCTAGGGTATACCAAAAGTATGTTATCTGGTACTTGAAAGGCCTGCCAAAATGAATAAGACACTTCAATCTGGAAAGATCTGTTTTCTTGAGGATGAGAAGTAGAATAAAGCCAGAAATACCTTAGGATGCTCTTAAGAAGAGAGGGACACAGGATCAGAGACTGGACAGGGCTGACTCCAGCCAGTGACATTCAGAGAAAAAAAAGAGCATTGGATTAACTTGAACAGTACTACTACTACTACTGTGTGACCAGCCAACTGAAATCTGATCTGAAAGATCATCTGATAGTCTAACCTAGAATATTTTAGTGAGCTTTCAAGGAATATGGTTATGTAAATTACAGCAAGGGTTGAACCTTGCAGGGCTTTGCTGTAGTACAGGGTGCTCTGGATCAGTAAGAGTAGCAGCTTCTCAAAAATGATGGAAGGAGTTGAAGGTGGGTTCCTGATAATGATGTGTTCATGTTTTGTTGGTATGTGGTTTTCTCAGATGATGACAACCCTTACCATGTGACCCTGAAAGACCTGGCCATGTTCTGAGCAATTCCCAACTGCACTGTTTTCTATCCAAGTGATGCCATCTCCACAGAGCATGCTGTTTAGGCAGCCAATACTAAGATATGTTTAAAGAATGCCAAATCAGAAAATGCTTCTGGGCTCTACTACTAGTTTTGAACTGGTGAGAGTTTTGTTTGTTTGTTTTCCTAGCATAAAATATAAAATTTGGTTCTAGATGCTGAGGGTGCTAGTGTATTTACCTAGGATGCATGAGGCCCTGGGTTTGATCCCCTGCACCATATAAACTGATCATGGTAGTACACACCTAAAATCTTAGCATTCAGAAGATGGAGCCAGGAAGGTCAATATTTCAAGGTCACCTATATTAATAGTTTTAAGCCAGCTTAGGATTCATGGGACCCTAACAACAGGGGATTGTGGACATGAATGCATTAGGATTGTAAAACATGCAAAGCTTACTATATGGCTAGAGAGATGGCTCAGTGGATAAAAAGCTTGCTACACAAGCATGAGTACTAGAATTTAGATCTCTAAAATTCACATAAAAATTGGACAGGAAGCCAGGTGTGTTGACAAAAATCTTTAATCCCAGCACTTGGACTTGAAAATGTATCCATTCAAGTTGACAATAAAGTTATATTTACACCTTCTCATTGGAAATGGCTGTGCCACTTCATATTCACATATTTAAAGTCTTTCTAAGGATGAATCATTACAAACTATATTTTGGTAAAACTAATTTTTAATGTGTTTTTTGCTTTCTTGTCATCATGAGTCAGTGTCCCTGCCCCAAATTTTTGTTCCATGAGGACAGGAATAGTCAGTGCATATTTTAGAAATCTTTGGGACAACATGGAGAATTTGTCACTGAGGATATCACCAGAATCCTGCTTGAGATATTTCTCTCTCAGGAGCACAGTCAGATGTGTAACCTGTTTATTGGTAGTTGAGCTTCTCCCTCACTCCAGAGAATGCATTTTGTTGTTAGTATGAAGAACTGTTCACTCCTCTTTCCTAATGTTTAATGACTTATTATTTGAAAAGTTATGGTTTGGTTTAATTTTCTTTTTTTAATTTTTGAAATTCTAACATTTCTCCCTTCTCTTTCCTCTCTCCAAACCTTCTCATATGTCCCTTCTTACTCACTTTCAAATTCATGACCTCTTTTTTCATTAATTGTTGTTGCTATTCCTAAATATAGCCTGCACAGTCTGTATAATGTTACTTGTACATTTATGTTTTCAGAACTGGCCATTTGGTATTGGATAGCTAGTTAGTGTGCTCCTCCCACTCTCTGCATTCCTTAGTTCTTTGTGTCAGGTTGAGGCATCCTGGGCTTTCCCACCCTCATTCACATTAGCTCATCTATAGTTGTCCTTGTTCAGTTCATGTTTTGGCAGTCGTGTTGGTAATACTTTATAAGTATAGCTTGTGACATTCCTAGGAGACACAGTCTCATAGCACACTGTTCATCTGACTTTTACAGTCTTTACACCCCCTCTTTTTTCAATGTTCTCTGAACCTTACATTCGGGAGTATTTGGTAGATGTATCCATTGGAACTAGTCTCCACGGCCCTGCATTTTGTTTGGTTGTGGTTTTCTGTAAAGATCTCCATCTGTTGCAGTTTGATTTTCCTAACTGTTGTTCTTGTTTGCACTTATGCCACAGGAAATGTGTTTCGTTTATACTAGCCAAGCTAGTAGTTATTTACACCACTCAAGAAACCTTTCAGATTGGACAGGCCAAGGTAAGGGCATAAGTTTTCCTGTGTTGTCCAGTATCCATTATGTAAAGAGAGTCATTCTAACTAACCCTTGCAATTTTTTGGTTGTTTTTCCTTTACTAAATCTGTTGTGATCTTTGCCTGATGGATCTGTACTTCTTTCTAAATGGAATCTCTTTTGTTGTATTTTTTATTTTGTTTTGAGACAGTATCTTATTATGTACCCCAGGCTGGCCTCAAACTTGGAAACCTTCTGCCTCACCCTCCCGTGTGCAGGATACTATAGATATGTGGCACCACACCCAACTTTGTTGATTCCTTTTATAGGAAAAGGGTTTGTTTGGTTTTTATGGTGCTAGAAATTGAAACTAGGTCCTTATGCATGCTAAGCAAATACTCTATCTCTAGGTACATTGGCAGTCCTTTTCTCATTTTTATTTATCATTTGCGTCTTTGTGTATGGCAGGTGCACCACTGCATGCAGGTGTAGAGGTCAGAGGACAACACTGAGGTGTAGTTGGTTCTCTTCCTCCCACTATGTGGGTCCAGGTCATTGGGCTTATTGACCAGCACCTTTACCAGAGAAGCTATCTAGCCTATACAAATGTCAGCCCCTTCTTAAAGTTTTATTTCAAGCTAAGTTCTCACCAAATTGCCAAAATGCTGTCCTTAAGTTTGAAATCTTCCTGCTTCTGGTTCCTGAGTGGCTGGGAATTAAGATGTGTACCACTGCACCTGGATTGTAGGTGAATTAATTAACTAATAAATTTGTTAGTGTTAGGTCAAGTGCAATTTGTCTTTGAGATATATCTTTCCACAGTAACCACATTTTGTTTTGTTAGTGCTATACCAGGTTGTGCACAACAGTGACAATGATAAGGTCATAGTTTATTGGAGCAAGAGTCACTCTGCGTAAAACCTAGTGACTGCTGATGAGCTCTCTAAAGTATTTCAGTTGATTGTGTAAACATTGAAGTTACAAACTGGAAAGTGGTAAAATGTCAGCTTTGTGATATACCCAGACTGATCTTTACATTTCAACCTCTGAATATTCCTTATTCTGAGTCTGTTTCTTACACTAAGCTGATATTATTATTCTCCAGATATCGCTATCCGTGTCATTGACTTGTTTACCATTAACCCTCTTGACACTGCCACCATCATTTCCAATGCAAAAGCCACATCTGGCTGAATTATCACCGTGGAGAAACACTACCCAAAAGGTGTGTTGGATACATTGGGTAAGGATTTGTAAGTTGGTTTTAGTAGATTTTTTTGATAGAAAGTGTTTTTGTTTTGCTTGACTGGAGATGCACCATGTTCTCTATGTAGCCTACTAACAGTTCAGCATACCTTTGTTAAACAATTGCATCCATGTAGGGGCCTCTCAGCTACCTAGAACAGATTCTTTAACATGGAACATTGTCTGTATATATTTTGTGAGCCCCTGTCATAGACAGGAAAGCATTCACAAACACTTCTATAGCTTCTTTTGAGTATTGGATTAATAGTTCACTCCCCTGCCCTTTAAAAAGCTAGCTCCTGGCCAGGCAGTGATGCACACCTTTAATCCCAGCACTCCAGAGGCAGAGACAGATGGATCTTTGTGAGTTCGAGGCCAGCCTGGTCTACAAGAGCTAGTTCCGGGACAGTCTGAGCTGTTACACAAAGAAACCCTGTCTCAAAAAAACAAACAAGCAAAGAAACATTAAAAACTAGCTCCTGGTAGAAAGAGGTGGCAGATACCTTTAATCTTAGCACTTGGAAGGCAGAGGCAGACAGATCTCTAAGTTTGAGGCCACCCTGGTCTACAAAGAAAGTTTCAGGGCATCCAGGGCTACACAGAAAAACTCTGTTTTGATAAACAAAACAAAAGCCTAGCTCCTGAGCCAAGCTTGGAGCACACACCTTTACTATGGCACTGAATCATACACAGAGGCAGGCATATCTCTGAGTTTGAGGCAGTCTGGACCTATATAGCATGTTCCAGACTAGCTAGAGTGTCTTGGTTAGGGTTTCTATTGCTGAAACAAAACACCATGACCAAAAAGCAAGTTGGAGAGATAAGAGTTTGTTTAGTTACACTTCCACATTGCTGTTCATTGCCAAAGGAAGTCAGGACAAGAACTCAACCAGGGCAGGATTCCAGAGGCAGGAACTGATTGCTTCAGAGGCCATGGAGGGGTCCTGCTTACTGACTTCCTTCATCCTAGTTTCTTATAGAGCCCAGGACCACCAGGTCAGGGATGGCCCTCCCACACTGATCACTAAATGAGAAAATGCCTTCCAGCTGGATCTCATGGAAGCAACTCCTAAAGTGAGGCTCCTTCCTCTGTAATGACTCTATGTCAAGCTGACACACAAAACCAGCCAGTACAACTGACCCCTTGTCAACACACAAACACATCTCTATTAAACCACAGCCCTTCCTTTCTTATTCATCCCCAAGATCTCATGTTAAAAACACAAATAACTTTAAAAGTTACACAGATTTTAAAGATTTAAGTATATTAAAATTTCAGTTCCTTTAAAATATCCAATCTCTTTTAAAATTCAAAGTCTTTCAACTGTGGGCTCCAGTAAAAAAATACTTTCTTACTTCAAGAGGAAAAAATCAGGGCACAGTTAGTTACAATAAATCAATGAAATCTCAAATTCCAACCATCCAAGGTCTGGGATTCATTCATAATCTTCTGTGCTCCTCCAAACCACTTGGGTCACTTTTCCACCTCTGCTCTCTGTAGCACACAGCTTGTCTTCTAGGTTCTGGCATGCTCCACTCCGCTGTTCCCGCTGTTCTTAGTGGTCATACCCCATTGTACTGGCATCTCTAAAATGCCGAGTCTTCTGCTATAACTGGACTACACTTACACCAATAGCCTCTCATAGGCTCTCTTCATGATGCCAAGCCTCAATGTTTTTGCATGACCCCTTCAGTCCTGGGCCTTCAACTACCACTCACTGAGGCTGCACCTTCACCAATGGCCTCTGTTGACCTCTCCTGGTCTCCTACCGCCAAGCCCCAGCTGTTCTCCATGACCCACCCATTCCTACTTTCAAAACCAGTACTACCTGGGTAACTCTTACCCATTACCAAGTCTGACTGCCAGTGTAAGATACAACCTTGACCACAGCTGGAACACAGCTTCTCTGTGTTCTCTGAAAACAGTTCCCAAAAGACTTCACTTCTTTTGGGATGCTGGTCTCTTCTTAATCAATGCTAATTTCTTAGTTCCAGCTAACCAGCATAGATTGTTCCAGTAATGTAAAGATTTCACACCAGTAGTTCTGGTATCTTGTTAATCACAGCTGATTATTCAGTCACAGCTAGCCAGAACCACAGAATTTTAAATCAAAATAGCAAATAACCCTGATAGTCTTTAATCTTCCTCTGAAATTTTACAAGCCAGGCCTCTATTTTGTGCACTGCTCTCAACATTCTTGTCTTCCAGGCTCCCACAGAACATCTTACTGAACTCTCAACACTCAATGGCTCTTCTAATCCAAAGTTCCAAAGTCCTTCCACAGTCCTCCCAAAATCATGATCGGGTGTGTCACAGTAACATCCCACTGTGCTGGTACCAGTTTGTCTTAGTTAGGGTTTCTGTTACTGTGACAAAAAACACCATGACTAAAAAGCAGGCTGGGGAGGAAAGGGTTTCTTCAACTTATACTTCCACGTTGCTGTTTATCACCAAATGAAGTCAGGACAGGAATTTAAACAGGGCAGAATCCTGAAGGCAGGAGCTGATTGCTGTAGAGGCCATGGAGGAGTGCTGCTTACTGGCTTTCTTCCCATGGCTTGCTCAGCCTGCTTTCTTATAGAACCCAGGACTACCAGCCCAGGGAATAACAGCATTCACAATGGGCTATGCTCTCTCCCATTGGTCACTAATTGAGAAAATGCCTTACAGCTGGATCTTATGGAAGCCGTTCCTCAACTGGGGTGTCTTTTTGTCTGATGACTCTAATTTGTGTCAAGTTGATGTACAAAACCAGCTAATACATAGGGATACATAGACCTGTCTCAAAAACAACTGGATCCTTTCAAACAAAAGAGCAAATGGCAAAATGTAAGAGTATTTCAGGGAGCCAAGGCTTGGGCTATATTTGGGTATAGAAAATAGGAGACAACATTCTGTTTTTATGACACAAGGCCCTAAGACCATGTCTCATTGGGTATTTCTCGGGAAGGGCTCCCAGATCCAGCGTGCAAATGTGGAAACCTCTGGTAGAGATGGAAGAAATACCTATCCCCATGAAGGTCACAAAGAACACTTCCCACAAAGTCCATGTCTGTCCAAAAGTACACATAGTTAGACTGAATACCCCATGATTCTGTTGAGAGCTGGTCGTGTTAGCATCTTCTGCCAGACATTTTTACCAAAATCCACCTGACTCCTGGCAGAAATGTGGGCATATGTCATAGTCTTCATTGTTTGTACACATATTCTGGCACAAGGGCCACCCCATGAAGAGGGAGCGGTAATAGCAGTAAAGGACACTTGTACCAGCCAAGAGCCACCCTAGAGAGCTAGCAGCCTGTTACTTCTCTTCAACATGGTTCATTGTGTTTAGTGCTTTTCAGATCTCTGGAAGCTTTAAGAGTCCGAGTTTCCACATACACACACCCCAAATTACTGGAGACCAGGCCGAAATTACCCCCTTGCTGTGTGAGGGGGGAATGATTAGGAGATGAGAAATTAGGAGTGAAAACTCTTTAAGCCAGTTGGAGCATGACTATTTGGCTGAATCAATGACTAGTGAAAGTACTTTGCCCCAAAACCAGCAGATTTAAAAGTATATCACAGGACTTTTAAGGCTTACTAGCCATTTGCAGAAAAGATGCTAATATTCCTTTTTTCCCATGTGGCATTGGGGAAACTGTCTGTGCAGCGGTCTCCATGAGTCTAACATCATAGTTCATCAGCTGGCAGTGATGGGGGTGCCTCGAAATGGGAGATCCAGTGAAGCACTAGAATTTTCTGGAATCAATGCCATACACATCAACGTGGCTGTAAAATGTATCTTAATGAACCAAATTAGCTATTGGTTTTTCTCTGAGAAGAATAGCCTCTTTTCTGTGTATTTATGCTTGTATCAAAACCATCACTTAGAAATGATTCAGTCGGGCTGTGGTGCACACATCTTTAATCCCAGCACTCAGGAGGTAGCAGCAGGTGGATCTCTGTGAGTTCGAGGCCAGCCTGGTCTACAAGAGCTAGTTCCAGGACAGTCTCCAAAGCTACAGAGAAACCCTGTTGTAATAGGAGCGGCCTTATTACAACACCCTGTCTCTAAAAACCAAAAAAAAAAAAAATTACTTAGATAAAAATGATTCTGCTTTGTTCTCCTTAAAGAAAAAAAAGCTCACATCTTTATTACTCATTCAGAAATTCTAATTTCCCTTTAATATATGACTACATACATGAATATCAAAACGGGTTATATTTAAAATGGCAGAATAGCTAACAAGACAACCACCTGATACTGAACTTTCTTGTAAGACTGCATATAAGTGAATTAAGGATCTTGTAGAAGTGACAGTTTACAAGGCTGTCCACTCTCTCCATACCTCTTCAATATAGTGCTTGAAGTTCTAGCAATAGCAATAAGACAACATAAGGGGATCAAGGGGATTCGAATTGGAAAGGATGAAGTGAAACTTTCGTTATTTGCTGACGATATGATAGTGTACATAAGCGACCCCAAAAACTCTACCAAAGAACTCCTACAGCTGATAAACACCTTTAGTAACGTGGCAGGATACAAGATCAACTCCAAAAAATCAGTGGCACTCCTATACACAAAGGATAAAGAAACGGAGAGGAAAATCAGAGAAACATCACCTTTCACGATAGCCACAAATAGCATAAAATATCTTGGGGTTACTCTAACCAAGGATGTGAAAGACCTATTTGACAAGAACTTTAAGCCTTTGAAAAGAGAAATTGAGGAGGATACCAGAAAATGGAAAGACCTCCCCTGCTCTTGGATTGGGAGAATCAACATAGTAAAAATGGCAATTCTACCAAAAGCAATCTATAGATTCAATGCAATCCCCATCAAAATCCCATCAAACTTCTTCACAGACCTTGAGAGAACAATAATCAAGTTTATATGGAAAAACAAAAAACCCAGGATAGCCAAAACAATCTTATACAAGAAAGGAACTTCTGGAGGCATTACTATCCCTGACTTCAAACTCTATTACAGAACTACAGTATTGAAAACAGCCTGGTATTGGCATATGAACAGAGAAGTCGACATATGGAATCGAATAGAAGACCCAGATACTAACCCTCAAACCTATGAACACCTAATTTTTGACAAGGGAGCTAAAGGTATACAATGGAAGAAGGAAAGCGTCTTTAACAAATGGTGCTGGCATAACTGGATGTCAACCTGTAGAAGAATGAAAATAGATCCATATCTATCACCATGCACAAAACTCAAGTCCAAATGGATTAAAGACATCAACATCAATCTGTCCACTTTGAACCTGATAGAAGAGAAAGTGGGAAGTAGTCTACAAGATATAGGCACAGGAGGCCACTTCCTAAGTAGGACCCCAGTAGCACAGACAATAAGAGAAACAATGAATAAATGGGACCTGCTGAAACTGAGAAGCTTCTGTAAAGCAAAGGACACTGTCAGTAAGACAAAAAGGCTGCCTTCTGACTGGGAGAAGATCTTCACCAACCCCTCATCAGACAAAGGTCTGATCTCCAGAATATACAAAGAACTCAAGAAACTAGACACTAAAACTCTAATTAACCCAATTAAAAAATGGGGTACTGATCTGAACAGAGAATTCACAACAGATGAACTTCGAATGGCCAGAAGACACTTAAGGTCATGTTCAACCTCCTTAGCGATCAGGGAAATGCAAATCAAAACCACTTTGAGATACCATCTTACACCTGTCAGAATAGCTAAACTCAAAAACACCAATGATAGCCTATGCTGGAGAGGATGTGGAATGAGGGGAACACTCATCCATTGTTGGTGGGAATGCAAACTTGTGCAGCCACTGTGGAAATCAGTGTGGCGGTTTCTCAGGAAACTGGGAGTCAACCTCCCTCAGGACCCAGCAATTCCTCTCTTGGGAATATACCCTAGAGATTCCCGAACATACTACAAAAGCGTTTGTTCAACTATGTTCATAGCAGCACTATTTGTAATAGCCAGAACCTGGAAACAGCCTAGGTGCCCCTCAATAGAAGAATGGTTAAAAAAGGTGTGGAACATATACACATTAGAGTTTTACTCAGCGGTAAAAAATAATGACATCTTGAATTTTGCATGCAAATGGATGGACATAGAAAACGCTTTACTGAGTGAGGTAAGCCAGACCCAAAAAGAGGAACACAGTATGTATTCATTCATAAGTGGATTCTAACCATAATTAAAGGTCTTTGAGCCTATTATTCGTGATCCTAGAGAAGCTAAATAAGAAGACGAACCTGATGAAGATTATTTAGCTATCCGCCAGGAGGTAGGAAATAGTCAAGAGTTCCAGGTAACCTTGGGTACATGGGGGTGGGGGGGTGGGAGGGTTGTTGGAAGGGGAGAGGGTTAGAGAGAAGGGAGTAGGGGAGGAATGGAGAAAGCTCGGTTGACCGGGATGGGGGGAAGGGAGGAAGGATGAATATGGGATCAGGGAAGAATATATTTCAACTAAGGGAGTCATTTGAGGGTTTACAGGAAACTTGATTATATATGGGATCCCAGGTCCAAGGAGAGATCCCCAGATTGTTCTCTGGACAGAGGAGAGGGTGCCTGAACCGGCCTTGGCCCATAACCATACTGATGAATATTTTGCTTATCACCATAGATCCTTCATCTGGCGTTGGATGGCGATACAGACGGAGACCCACATTGGAGCACCAGACTGAGCCCCCCAAGATCCAAATGAGGAGCAGAAGGATGAAGAAAATGACGAAGGACTGCGAGGGATGCTATCACCCACTGATACAAGGGGTCGGATCTAATGAGAGTTCACCAAGGCCAGTTGGACTGCGACTGAACGAGCACGTGATTCAACCAGATTCTCTGAATGTGGCCGGATTCTCTGAATGTGGCTGGCCTGGAGTCTTTCTGAGAAGCCATTGACAATGACGCTGGGACTAGTTTCCTCTGCATATACTGGATTTTTGGGATCCAGTCTGTTTGGATACTCACCTTCCTGGACCTGGAGGGAGGGGGGAGGAACTTGAACTCCCCACAGGGCAGGAAACCCTGACTGCCCTTTGGGACAAAGAGGGAGGAGGAGAGGGAGGGGGGAGTGGGAGGGTGTTGGGAAGAGGGGCGTAAATGGAAACTTTTATAATTTAATAAAATTACTTTCAAAAAAAAGTATTTCCCTCATAAGTAAAGCAAATATGTGTTGAATTGTAGTCCTCAGTCCAACTTTCATAACCCTCGACCCCTGTAATGCATAGTCCAGTTCGACTTAAGTTACCATGTATACTGCCTTCCTACCTGCAGCTTCCTGAGTAATGTGTAACTTCAGATGCTCTTTAATTTTCTTTGTTGTTTCCCTTCATATCCCCTCCACAGTTCACAGGCTGGTTAGGATGTCTTGTGTTGTTTGTGATGACTGTTCTGTGAAGACACGAGGACACTAGTCTTGATCTCTACACTGTGCTATTGATGTTAATAAAGCATCTCAAAAATCAACTACTTTATTCATTTTGTGCCTTCTATTCAATTTGGTTCCCCCTTGCAATAGTCCTAAGGGAGAGACGTCTGTCTCAACCAGACTAGGTGTCATGGACTGCAAGCAAGCCACTCACTGTAAAATAGTATAGCCTTGAAAATCTACACTAGTCAAATCCTTCCATCAGCTGGAATGTAAGAAAGGTTTCAACAAAATAAAAATTGTACTGAGTTTCAAAAGCTCACTGGATGCGCCAAATATGTCACATTTCTTATTACTTTCATTAAGTGGACATCATGAATTTGGGTAGACATGACCACATTGCTTCTGGAGTTGTGTGACAATGTGTGGTAGAGATTTAACCTGGATTTGGTACCATTAGAGCCTGCTCATTCTACTCCTACCCTTAGTCTACTAGCTGGGTTTCCTGGCCTGTAAAAGGAAAATCTTCATAAACACTGCAATATTGGGTGGGCTGCAGAGATGTCAGTGGTTAAGGGTACTTGCTTCCAGGTTTGGTTCCTAACACCCACATCAAGTGGCTCACAACTGACCCCTTCTGGCCTCTGGGCACTCACACATGTGGCAAACATTCACAGACATATCATACATACACAGACATTTTTTAAATAAAGTCTTTAAATAACTGGGTGTGGTGACACATGTCTTTAAACTCAACACTTAGGAGGGAAAGGCAGGAAGTGTTTGAGTTTAAGGCCAGGCTGGACTACATAGTGAGGCATAGGCCAGCCAACATTAAATAGTAAGGCCCTATCTTTTAAAAAATACATTTAAATTATTTTGTGATAATCACAATAGTTTTGGAAAACAAATTTTTCCGAGTATGATGACACTTGTAATCCTAGAAAGAGGAGGCAGGGGGATTAGAAGTTTGAGGTCATCCTCAGCAATGTAGTGAGTTGGAGACCAGTCTATATTATCCAGTACCTATATCAAAAGATTTTTCTCATTTCAAGCATGCAGTTCAGAGTTTTTTATGTACTCAGAAAGTTAATTTTCAAACACTGATATCCCCCAAATTCCATACCCTGTTTCCCCTCCCAGCTACCAAAGGACCACCACCAAAGGTTGTTCTCTGGCCTCCATGTGCATGTACATACATACAAAGAACATTATGCTTTTTGAAAGCCAGACACAAAAAGCTTATATATTCCACTGAAACCCTAGGATCCACTTGTCTCTGTCTTCCCAGTGCTGGGATTATCAAGGTGAATCACCTTGCCTGACTTGTATTACATGAGCTCTGGGGAATCAAACTCAAGTCCTTGTTCCCAAAAGGCAAGCACGACCTACTGAACCATCTCCCTAGTCTTGAGTGTAATGCTTTTGAGGTTCATCTATGTTGTCTATGTTCATATCATTCCTTTTGAGGGAAAGGAGTTTTCCTGTAAGCAAGGCTGGCCTTGAACTTGCTCTGTAACAAGGCTACCGTGAACACTTGATTCTCCTGCCTCTCTCTCCCAAGTGTTCACTACTTTTTTATGGTCACAAAATATTTTTGTTTACATAGGCCCTATTTTATTTAATCTTTGAACGTTTGGTTTGTTTACATTTTTACTACTGTAAATAGTGACATGTGTAGATTTTTGTGTAGATAAGTATTTTCACTTAGTGTGTATGACTGCCTGGAATTAGTGGGTTCTATGGTAATACTGTTTGCTTCATAGTGTGTAGTATGAGTGTGTGCTTAAACAAAGTTTATGAAAGAGTAAATGAAATGGGAAGATGATCAGCAATCTGTAAGACAAATATAGGAGCCATTAATACTGGAAAGCCGCAACATGAATGGCTATGCATTCATCTGGAAGTGCTAGATTCAGTATATCTACAACTCAGAGTGCACATTTACACTGGCGGTATAAATGAGTCAACAAATGTGCCCAATGGAAGTATAATTCCAAAGGGCAAGATAAAAGTCCCAGTCTCAATTCTGGCTTCTAGAGGATGCTGGGCAGAAAAGGACAGCTAAAAGCCAGAAGTGATCGTTCATTCCTTTAATGGCAGTACTCTGAAAGCAGAGGCAAGCAAGCCTGGTCCGGGAAACAGTGAGACCCTGTCTCAAAATTAAAAAAGAAAAAAAGAAAAATGTGGTAATAAGGACTCAAGAGACATGCTCATAGAGAATAAAATGAGTCCCATTACCAGGGGTTCTCATTGTTGCCACTGGGTAGCCAAGGTATAATATCTAAGTGACGGGGCTGGTGTGCTAAGCATTTGAGGCTGAAAGTTTCTTAATTCAAAGTCTGGCAGTTTGTAGGCTCATGAATATCCCCTGAAAGATGCCATGGACCTTTAGCACTTGGCACCAGTCCCTGAATCTAATTCCCTCCCATAAAGAAGTGCCCGTTGGAGTTTTGAGCCAGCTATCTGATTTTAAATCTAGACCTGTTAGTGGGAGGTGATTGCCTAGGTAACCTTTATGCCTCGATTGTTTTCATCTCTAAAGGGGATAAAAGAACTGCCAATAAAGTAAATTTCAGGACCATGGCCAAAATTTTACAAAACTAAAATATCTCTATCTAGGCTTTTCCTGCCCATCTGGTGGGTTCCTACTTTCCCTCAGTTCCAGTCATATCCCAGTTGTCCCACCACATCAGCTGATCCTCACATTTGCCACCCTCCCAAAACTGACAGTGTTGGGGTAGCAGCAATACTATCTTGCTTTTCCTCCCCTTTGCTAGCCCCGCCTTCTCTGCTGCCCAGTCTGTTCACCTGCCCCTTCATTCTCCAGTTCCTTGCTGGGATACCCTCTACCCACCATTTGACTCTGCTCGGCGCTGGAATGTTGGGCCTGCCAGCGCCTGCCCGCACCTGCCCGTGCCTGTCCGCGCCTGCCGGTGCCTGCCCGCGGTACCCTCCAAGCCATGAGCTGGCTAGCGTTTCGTCATTGGGTTTTGTACGGTCACTCACTTAGCCACAGACAATCATCCCCCAAAGACCTGAAAATGCGCTGGGCTAACAACAAGGGTTAGCACCATGACCTCACAATTGTGTGCTCCCAGGTGCACTAGCACCGTTCCTAACCTCTGAGTGGCCACAAACAGCGGAGGGAGGACCAGGCATAGGAACACAGGAGCCAGTTCTAGACAGCTATGCAGTGCAGCTGGGTTTGACAGTGGAGTGGTTGAGATGGTAGGCATGTGCTAACCACGGAGAGCAGTGAGTTCCTTTCAACACTTGGACCTCCATAACCATTAGGATCTTAGGGCAGAACCCTCCCTACACACCACATGCGCCACAGAAAAAGAAACTAGGGGTGGCCTGTCTTACCGTGGGAAAACATGGGACTTATATTGGTACCACAGCCATCTTTTTCTGTGAGAAAACTTGTGGCTTTAGGATTCAGGAAGAGAGTAATGATAACAAATGTGATTCCCAACCTAGTTGAGAAGACAAGCAACTAGCCAAAGAAATACTTGGAGCCAGGTACAGAATTAGGGTGGTAGTAATTCCAGCAATCTGACCCCTGAGACCAGACAATTATGAGTTTAAGGCTATCTTGAACTGCATAAAAATTTTTTTGAGACTAGGTCTTGCTATGTAACCTTGGCTGACCTGGAACTCACTATGTAGATAAAGATGGCCTACAATCTTCAGCAATCTCCCTGCCTCTGCCTGCCAAATGCTGGGATAACAGACATGTATCACCAGATCTGGAGTTTTTTTTTTCCATGCTGGAATGGAACCCAGGGCCTTGCACGTGCTAGGCAAGCAATTTAACACTGAGCCAGATGCCCAGTGTTTTTGTTTTGCTGTGCCTCAGAAACCACTGATGATTTTGGGGATTTAGTGTGGGTTTGCATCAGAATTTGTAAACATCAATGGGAACTGCTCTCATGAAACTCAAGGAAATGTCAATTGTGATTTGTAAAGTTCATCCTGATGAAGAAGAGAAGGGTGCTTCTCGTTTTACCCTTCTTGGTTTCTCATCTGATGGCCTGACTCCTTCCCAAACATACCTGATCATGTAGGAACCTCAGGGAGAAAGGGAGTGAGGGAAGGTGGGGGAAAGTCAGAAGAGAATACAGGATCCAGCCCTGGAGACCAGATTCTTTAAGTTACACTCTGCCTCTACCATGTGCCAGCTTGCAAATCAGAACAAGCTATTTAACCCTTCTGCATACTGTTTCCTTCATGTCTCCCCCTGGAAATAGAGGTATCATTAGCACCAACGTCTTGGGAGGCTTCTTTGGATAAAACTGATTAGGTCCTTGGGAAGTAGTTGAAACATACCAGTATATGTAAAATATTCAGTCATCACTGCTTACCATATTACTAGGTCCCTGAGAATTATGCTTTCAGAGATATGACAGCCCTGGTCCTAATCTTTGACATACTTCCTAATCCTCAGGGACAGTGACAATCTCTACTGCTGTCAGTTGATCATATTACTAGGTCTCTGAGAATTATACTCTCAGAAATATAACAGCACTGGTCTTGATCTTTGACCTACTTTTTAGTTCTCAGGGACAATGACGTTGACCCACCTTCAGTTTCACTCCCTGGAAGTCCTGTGTGTGACTCTGCTCTGCCAGGATCTAGCAGTATGACTTTACCTATAACATAACTAACTTCCTGTTTTTCCAGGGCTTCCCCAGCCTTCTCCCTAAGCTGTGGGAAGGTGGGCTTAGCTCCTGGGTGCTCAGAGGGGCTTCCTCAACTACTGATATACCTCAAAGCTGAAATGGACCCACTTCCTCTTAGATCCTTATGCTGAGGTCAAGTTTATGCCCATTGTGCATTTTCATCCTACAGTAAGCCATCAAAAGCAATAGGTGAGGATCTTGGTCATACTCATTAATATGCTGGAAGTTAGAAACCTTCTGCCCCAAAGATCATCAAGGCCAAGTACCAACTGGGCATGGTGGTGTACACTTCTAATCCCAACAGTTGAGAAGCTGAATCAGGAGTATTGGTATGAGTTTGAGGTCAGTCTTAGCTACATAGAAAGCACCAAACCACCTAGAGATATATACCAAGACCCTGTTTACAAAAACAAAATGGGGGGGGTCATTTTGAAGAGATATCTCAAAGTAGGTTGCCCTCAGACCGTCTCTATTTTCTCTTGCTGTGGAACAATCTTTGGTACACTGAAATATGTTTTCATTGGTTAATAAAGATCTGACGGACCTATTGCTGGGCAGGAAGAGATTGAGTGGGAGAGCCAGACTAGGAGAATGTGGGAAGAAAAATGGCAGAATCTGAGGAGTCACCAGGAGACCTAGAGGAAACAGGACATGAACATGTTGTACTGAGATAAAGTACCAAGCCACAAGGTAGAACATAGATAAAATATGTATTAATTGAAAATGTAAGAGTTAGCTAATAACAAGCCTGAGCTATTGACCAAGCATTTATAAATAATATTAAGTCTTTTATGGTTATTTGGGAGCAGCTACCAAGACACAGAGAAACTCTACCTACATTCTCTGTTCCCCCAGACCCAATACTCAGGGTTGCCCCTAGCACTGCAACAAAACTCCAATTAACACCTAACAGTAGCTTCTGTTGAGATAAAACAGAGAAAAGGTACCCTTGATGAGTCTAAGGCCAAGGTGTGCTGCTAAGAGATCATTCCACTCAACATATATAATGCAAGAGGTTTATTGGGGAAAAGGGACAGTGAAAGGCTGTCACAGAGTGGGGACATGGGAAAGAGACATACAGAACAAACAAGACAGAGAAAGCGATCTGGGGTGGTCAGAGCCTTTTAAATGGGGTGTGTAGTGACACACCTGGCAGCATCAGGTGATGACATAAGCTGCTGCCACTGAATCATTGAAAAACAGGCTGATGTAGCACCAAATTTATAACATTTCTCCCTTTTGTTTATTATAAAAGGTATGAGGATATAATGGGATGATGGTAGGGCAGAAATGGGAACACCATGCTCTTTAGACTGCTTTCTGTTGTCTCAGGGCGACATCTTTGGGAGCTTAAGAAATCTGGGATGCTAGCCAAGTCCTAGGAGAGTTAGCTGTTTTACTAGCTGTCCAGGCTCTGTGGGACCATCTGGGGCTAGGAAAGTACAGGCATAGTTGAAGTAGTCTGTGAGGCTGGACCACCTGGAACTTTGAAGCTGTCTGGGATGCAGATTTTGACTGGACACCTGGACCTGACAGGATGCTGAAGATAAAGTTATGGGCAGAAGACAAAGTTAAGAAGTTTAGAGGGAAATTTCTTCTTAGGTGTACATTTGAAACTTTTAGGCCCATGGTCCTAGTAGTTGAGGGAAGGGAGTCCCAAGATCAGGGAAAGAGGGAGAGATCCCACCCTCAGGAATGGGTAGTAGGTTGGGAAACTTAGGCTGTTTATTGACATGGGGTACTTAATCTGGAGTCCATTTGACCCACGGGTAGATTCAAGTCAATTTCCTGAAGCTTACAAGAATTTTTTTTGAGACAGGGTTTCTCTGTGTAGCTTTGGTGCCTGTCCTGGAACTCAGTCTGTACAACAGGCTGACCCTGAACTCACAGAGATCCTCCTGCCTCTGCCTCCCGAGTACTGGGACTAAAGGCATGAGCCACCACCGCCCAGGTTTTCTTTTAATTAAGAATTTTTTTAAATACAATCTTTTCTCATTTTACATAGCTATTCCTGTTCAGACTCCCTCCCCTCCTCCCACCACACTCTTCTCCCACCCCACCCCCTTCCACTCCTCAGAAAGGGTAAGGCTTTCCATGGGGAGTCAACTAAGCCTGACACTTCACTTCAAGGCAAGACCAAGCCCCTCCCTGCTATATTTAGGTTGAGCAAAGTATCCCTCCAAAGAGAAGGTGCTCCAAGACGCCAGTTCAAGCACTAGAGATAAATCCTGGTCCCACTGCCAGTAGTCCCACAAACTGCCCAAGCCTCACAACTTTTCCCCACATCTAGTGGGCCTAGTTTGGGCCTATGCAGGTTCCCCAGGTATCAGTCCAGAGTCAGGGAGCTCTCACTAGCTCAGGTCAGCTGTTTCTGTGGGCATCACCTTCATGGTCTTGACCCCATTAGTCATATTATTGCTGCTTCCTCTCTTGGACTGGACTCCTGTAGCTCAACCCAGTGATTCACTGTAGATATCTGTATCTGCTTCCATCAGTTGCTGGATGAAGTGTCTATGATGACAGTGAAGGTCATCATCAATCTGCTTACAGTTGAGGCATCCTCCCCACTGTTGTTTAGAGTCTTAGCTGGGGTCATCCTTCTGGATTCCTGGGAATTTCCCTAGTACCATGTTTCTCACTAGCCCTTTAATGGCTCCCTCAATCAAGGTAGCTCTTTCCTTTCTCTTCCTCTCTGTCCTTCCCTCTTCTTGAGCATTCTTTTTCCTCATGTTCTCTTCCTCCCTTCCTTTCTCCCCTCCCCTTCCCCTTCCGTCCTCTTTCTTCTCCCCCATACTCCCAATTATTTCAGGAGATCTTGTCTGTTTCCCCCTCCCAGGGGGATCCATGTATGTCTCTCAGGGTTCTCCTTGTTACCTAGCTTCTCTGGGATTGTGAACTATAGGTTTGGTATTCTTTGTTTTATGTCTAATATCCACTTATGAGTTAGTACATACCATGTTTGTTTATCTGTCTGAGTTACCTCAGTCAGGATGGCTTTTCTAGTTCCATTCATTTACATGTAAATTTCAAGATGTCATTGTATTTTACTGCTGAGTAGTACTCTAATGTGTTAATGTACCACATTTTCTTTATCCATTCTTCAGTTGAGGGGCATCTAGGTTGTTTCCAGGTTCTGGCTATTATGAACAATGCTGCTATGAACACAGTTGAGCAAATGTCCTTGTGATGTGAGTGTGTCTCCTTTGGATATATGCCCAAGAATGGTACTGCTGGATCTTGAGGTAGATTGATTCCCGATTTTCTGAGAAACTGCCATACTGA